AGCCTAGCCGTGCGCCCGGCACACCAACTATTCGGCCCGGCTCTGCGCTTGTGCAGCCAGGCCGTACACCCGGCCAGGCCTGACCTAACATGCCATGTGCCAAGACATTCCGGGTGGTTTGGCCTTGCGCCGTTCGGCCTGGTCTTTGACTCGGTTGTGTCCAATCATACTTGAATATATTTTTACACCGAACCTCGATTCCAAATGGGATGATCGATTGTTTATGACACTTGAAACCCCTAATTACCTTAGTTCCTTATTAAGTCAAGCTTTAGTGAAAAGTTGGTGTTTAAAGGAAGATGTGCCATTAGAACTAGCAAAGACCCCAATAATTGAGTGTTCTTGAGATAGGACATGTGATTCACGCCCAAGAGCTTCTTGGAATAAGAAGACAAGTTGACTTAACTAGTTAGCCAATAATGGAACTTGTCTTATAAGACCCAATGATGGAGGCAAACCCCAATAATACAGCCATGGACCAATAATAGAACTTATCTTGCAAGGCTGATAATTGTCATGAAAAAGGTAAAGTCTACTTCTAATCCTTGACCTTGCATATAATTTTTTTGTCAATTAAATCTTTGAACTTTTAATTTATTTAGTCAAGTTCTTCAACTTGCATAACTTTTCTAATCGAGTCTCTTCCACTCTAAAATCAAACTAATTGGACCCATACGCCCATTAGATCTGGCAAGTGTCTGATGTAGAAAAATTTTACGTCATATTAGACTGTTTAGCCGGAAATGTTCCCGCAACGAAATATAATTTACCGAAAGTCGTTTTTCCGTTTTTAATTAGAGGAGACCTGGTTTTGTGACTAATTCCGAACAAGAGATATCTAAACATGAACAAAGAATTTGATTGTCTTGATCAATAACACAAGTTTCGTACAGTAACGAAATTCGACTTATATTTATAAACAATTCAGATAAATCCATCTAGTTACTCACTGGTGGCATTCGAATTTCATCGATGCAACATTACAAAGCTACTGGCTTAGAAAGTAAACAACTACAACTATGGAAACTAAAGGTGCAATACTGGAAAATTAAGATAATTGAAAGACAGCATTTTGATGTGTATTTGCAGGGGGACTTTTTCTGGTTGTCAAGTACTATTTATAATATAAGCCTGATAACCGCCTTCTAAGACCATGCTTAATAACCATCGTTGATCTCATCTTCACCATGTTCAATAAGCCTTATCTTTTCGTTCTGACGCCTGTTCTTCCCGAGGTAATAACCATTGTCGAGCTCTTTCTATCTTGACACATGTCCTTTTTGAGGCAATAACTATCGTCAAGCTCTTTTCGTCTTGACACATGTCCTTCCCGAGGTAATAACAGTCATCGAGCTCTTTCCGTCTTGACACCTGTCCTCCCCGAGGTAATGACCGTCATTGAGCTCTTTCTGTCTTACCTATCCTCCCCGAGGCAATAACCATCATCGAGTTCCTTCCATCTTGACACTTGTCCTCTCCGAGGTAATAACCATCATCGAGCTCTTTCCATCTTGACACGTGTTTTTTCTCCTTTTCTCGTCGACAGCTTCGATGACTTGGGTTTCATATGGCAATTTTCATCGACAACTTTCGGTACTATAACTCAAGTGGCGCTTGTTTCCTCTACGGTTCAAGCTTTCCAATTTCAAATTCTTAAATTTCCTGCCGGGATATTCCAGTGCTTGCCAGTTGTTTGCTTGCGTGAGCAATCTTCTATGGGCTACGTCATCCCTTGACGTCTTTTACAAGTTTATTTCCATTTATTTGTGTTGTCGACAACCTAATTAATTATAGGTGTCAACATAGACAATCAACAAATTCATCAGACTAAAATATTGAGAAGGTGAACCTTACAATCAGATATTCCCATATGTTTGGTTTAGCTATGGGTTAACTATAACCGTGTTGCATTATAATTAGAGGTGGTCAAGGTTAACTGTACGTCCTTTGGATCTGGCAAGAGTCTAATGTAGAAGGATTTTATGCATATTGGACAATCAACAAATGTAAGAAAACTAAAAAACCTTGAAGATAAAGCTTACAATCATATCTTAGGGCTTATCGTTTGTTTGGTTCAGCTATGGGTTACCTGAAGTTATGTTACATTGTAACTAGAGGTGACCATTGGACATGCTTGAACCTAAGAGTCGGGCATAAGGTGTTGCCCAAGCCCGTCCATTACATAAAATTTGTATAGGAATTTTTTAGCCGTACCGAGTCGAACTCTTCGAGAGGTGGGGGTCGGGCTTTCTCATGTAAGAACAGTGTCCAAACCCACCCATTTACCTTTAGGGCTTGGTGGCCTTGGGCTGGCCGAGCAAGTCAACCCCACTATCACCTCTAGTTATGACTATATTGCAAAGTAATACAATTTGTATGTTTGATAATACATGTTTTAAAGCTGTGATACCGAAAAGTTTGTTGAGAAAACTCCCTAACAATTGATTGAGGTAGCTTCCTAAGAAAATGTTGCAAGCCTTGAGGGTGCTCCAGCTGTTAGGAATTTGCCAAACATTGGCAAAAGTTTGCTAGAAATTCCAAATCTTTTGTACAGTACTCGATTTAGTTCCACAATTTTTTGATCTCTCATTTAAGGCCATTAACTTACAAATATCATTCATTCAAGTTACTCCGGCGACTTGTTTCATTGAAAATGGTGATATGTCATTATTTTAATGATAAAGTCACTACTACATGACTTTTTAAGTAATGCCACATCAGCTTTTCCAACGAGCAAGTGACTGATCTAGTTTAAATGAATGATATTTGAAAGTTGAAAAATTTTAATGAGCACTTGAAAAATTGTAGCATTAAACTAAGCATTGTACCGGAAAATTTGAAACTTCTAATGCACTTTTCTCCCAAACACCTCATAAAAGTTGCCGCGTCCTTTTTTGCAACTGTAATTTGTGCAGCAAACCTGTATTTCTCAATAGAACACTGCCATTAAGTTTTCCAATTTTGTCTCTTCTTGACTTCAATAGAAGCACCACTTTTAATTAATTGGGTAAGGATTTGAAAGAACCCGATGAGTAAAGTTGTACTAGTTCAAGGAATTGATCAACTCAAAACTTAGATTGAAATTTAAAAAAATTGCACAAGCTTAGAGACTTAAAAGTGAACTTTTTCCTCGAAAGAATCGTCAGCACATCTTGTAGGAATAGGTCGTCGCAAGAGTAGTTGAACTTCAAATGTGTCTTTAGTCTCCCCATTTTGTATTATCTACATTTGAACACAACATGATGACAGGCTCGCGGGGGCGAAGAGAATGAGAATATTTCAAATCACTAGCATGAAGACTAAGAGCCTATTTGGTTTGAAAATTTGTTTTCAGTTTGGAAAAAAAATGAAGTTTTCGAGTTTTTTTTTCTGAAATTATGTTATTTAATTAAGAGTGAATAATATGAACCCACTTATATTTCGATAAACAAAACTCTGGAGCTTTTTTCTTTTTCCATCCCAATTTTTCTTGAAATTCATGTCTAACGAAAATCGCGAAAATAAAGAAATTTTTTATAATACCATAATTAATTGTGAATCAAGAAATCAGTTTAATCATAAGACTCGTTAAAATACCTATAATTAATTTTTTTTTATAGACATATACGTTTTGAGTAACATTCTTGATTAAAGGCAAGGATCATTTCCAATACACGTTAAACATAACACGAGAAATTGCAACATATTATTTTTTTGAAGTGTCATTTACACGTTAGTGGAAAGTATATATTCCATAGTATTTATTATGGGTTTGTACTTTACAAACATTCCTTTATATGATTGTGCAACGACAACCAATACAATATACACCACAAAATAAAGTTGAAAAAAACGTTGGTTGACCGGTAAAATATCGGGTTAATACTACGAAAAACTATAAACGGGTACATATGTGACAAATTTAGCTCAAACTAATTTTTTGACCGTCAAAAACTCTAAACCGGTACATATGTGACAAATTTACTTCCATTAGTTTCAATTAAATTTTACCGTCAAATTGTTGAGTTGAATGACACGTGACAGTCGACAAGTGTATCAGTTTTGGGTTTTACCCTCCGTTTGTCATATGTATAAAGGTTTGGAATTTTTCGTGGCATTAACACAATTTAATGGAAACTAACAGAGGTAAATTTATCATAAATGTACCAGTTTGAGGTTTTTTATGGTCAAAAAGTTACTTTAGGCTAAATTTGTCGCTATTGTACCAGTTTAGGGTTTTTTATGGTATTAACCCTAAAACAAAAAGAATTATGACTCAATTAAATCAACAGCTATGTAGCAGATCAAAAGATTCGGTGGTGAATCAATGGATTCGCCTATAAGACATGAATCGAGAATTGACCCATAAAATCGATTCGAAATCAAAACTTTGATTTAATCAAAATAGTTTTTCTTTTCAAGGAATTTTTGGCCAACAAAAAAGGGGCCTCAAATCCTTAAAGACTTCGATTTTTATTGAGTTAATACCACAAAAAAATCTCAAATTAATACACTTGTGACAAATTTACCCCAAACTAATTTTCTGACCACCAAAAATCCCAAATTGGTACACCTGTGATAAATTTACCATAAACTAATTTTTTGACACCTAAAAACTCCAAACCGGTACACTTGTAACAAATTTACCCTCTATTGAATTAAATTAATACCACGAAAAATCACAAACTGGTGCACCTGAAAAATCCTAAATCGGTACACCAATCAACTATTACGTATTATCCAACTCAACAATTTGATGGTAAAATTTAACGAAAATTGATGGAGGCAAAAATTATCAAAAGTGTATCAATTTAAAATTTTGGATGATCAAAAAATTATATCAAGACAAATTTATCATAATTGTATTAGTTTGAATTTTTCGTAATATTAACCCAGTACATAACTACTGCGATTTTTATTACACTCCGTGACTTTTGTGAGATTACGTACGAGACACGGAGTGTGTTAGGGCAGCGATCCCATTACTTCCTCACTCAGAAAACCCCGCTTCGTGTCTCTATTCCTCCCCCTTCCTGTCTTGCCGGTTCAAAACTCGGGCCATGTCCGTCCGTCCCGATTCCTAACGTACACCAATCCCCATGGCTCTTCAAGATCCGTCTCTTTCCTCGCCCCGTTTCGCCATCACGCATTGATCTTTCCCCCCTCGCGCTCTCCTCCTCCTCCTCCTCCTCCGCCGTAACCTCCTCGCCATGGTCTCCCCCGATCGCCCGTGACGATACCCTCTTCGGCTTCTCGGTCTCGTTGCATCGAAATTGTCATTAAAAATGGAGCTTTTGACTTGGGTCGCGGTGCTTTGGATCTGGCTCGGCTTCTTGGCTTCTGGGTCGTCTTCGATCGACGGCTTTCACCAAGCGTAAGTAGCTTTCTGATTGGTCGAGTGCTCGGTTCGGTTTGATGGGTGGTTTTTGTTTTCGGAGATGGAGCTGGAGCTGATTCTTGGATGAGGGCGGCGATTCTCTGTTTGTGGTTCTTGGATGTATTGTAAAATGCCGGGAGCTGCATGCGTGAACTGGAAACTCTTGTCGCTAGATTTGCTTATGTTGTGTGATCTTGGGTGGTTCGCAGCTTGAGCTTGAATGAGCTTTGCTGAGTTCGTGGGTGATTTGGTTTATTTGATTTTTACACTTGTGACGTCCACATTGCGATTTGGGATGAGCTGCATTGGGCAGTTTGATTGAGATATGGGACCAAGAGCTATCAGTTTGGCTCAGGATTGAATCAGTGACTAGGGAGAATTTTACTTGATCTTTGGACTTAGATTATCCCACTGTGCTAGGGCTGTTGGTTTTATTGAATAGTTAAAAGAAGGTTGTGAATTGGTTTGTATGTGATCTTGGTGGTTTGCAGCTTGACCTTGAATGGGCTTTGCTGAGTTTGTGGGTGATTGGTTTTATTTGACTTTTGCACTTGTGTCGTCCGCATTACGATTTGGGATGAGCTGCATTGGGCAGTTTGATTGAGATATGGGACCAAGAGCTGTCAGTTTGGCTCAGGATTGAATCAGTGACTAGGGAGAATTTTACTTGATCTTTGGACTTAGATTATCCCACTGTGCTAGGGCGGTTGATTTTATTGAATAGTTAAAAGTAGGTTGTGAATTAGTTTGTATGCTATTGTCATAAGCTACAGATGAAAGAAGAATGTATTGGAGGCTAAAATAAGATAAGAAAGGGCCGACCTGACATTGGCCTGCGATTGACATAAAGGGTGCCAAGAGAAAATTTGAGCTGATCATAGCTTTCACTTTTGCTCTTTGGCAACTGGAGGTACTTGCTTCAAATGAGATGATTTTCATGGTGGTTTTGGCGTTCGATACCACGAACTCTCCGACAAGGGGATGCGACTTGATGCTGACTAGGAGCAACGAGTATGAGAGAGCTCTAAGGAAATAGATGAGGAGGTTAAAGGACCTTTAGTTGATATTACTGTGCTGGATATAAATCATATAATGGACTAAAAAGATGCGTGAGATTGGCATTGCTCAACGGTAAAGGTTAAGTTATCATCGTGCAGCTAGTCAGGTTGTAAGTTATCATTACCTATGAGGGTGCGGATGGTGCGCAGCTAAGTTGTGGAAGATATGGCATTGAAAGTTGTAGAGCCGGTCGTCGTTCATATTGATCAGTTGAAGCAGTACTTCGGCCTCTTGAGCTAATATTACCCTTTATATACTCTTGCGGAAGTGCTGCAACAACCCTTCTCTCTCTTCCAGATTCATATGTTGTACTCTGAGTCATCCCCCTCTTATATCATCTAATGGATCTGTCATTGCAGGTTTCCTGTTGTGGAACCTGATCCTGGTCATACAAAACTGCGTCTTGCAAGGGAAGGCTTGGAGATTATCAAGAGGATAAAGAACCCTATTGCTGCTGTCGCTGTAAGTCTCCATGACACATTTATTATTAAATTTTGCTATCAAAACTCCATAGAGACCTGAATGCATAGTCACGCTAGGCCTTTCTTTCAGTGAAACTAACATGTTTACATAAATGATTCATGGCTCTGCTTTACTTTGAGTATGTAAAGGCTCTTAAAATTGATTGTTTTCTAAACTGTTGGATGATTTGACTACCTAATACCATAAGCAGCTTTCCCTGAATCCATGCACCCCACTTGCCTACTCTTGAGGAGATTTGCAAGCAGGAGGGTTTACGGAATGAATATTTCAACTGGTACTTCAAGCGGTAAATTCAATCAGCGAAATGTTAGCAGTGCTTTTGAAGGGATTGAAGAAGTCCGCTGATAAGAACAGACAAGGTTGATTGAGAGAAAGCAGAAAGAGCGATTAGTCACAATTATTCATAATCTAGCAACAGAAACAAAGAACAAGAAAGATTGCAGTGTTCAATTTTGGTGAAAGGTTTTCTAAGAGGGAAACAGAGTGGAGATTCCGCAGTGAGTTGTCAATTTGGTAGATGCTCATTCAGAGAAAGTTTTTCTTCTGAAAAGAGTTATCACAGTTAAGATAGCATTAGAAAAAACATCCTATTTGGTATCCAACGGTGTTGAAGCTTGTAGAGGTTCTCTTTTCCTATGAAACCAGGTGTTCAGTTATAGATGAGACATTGCTTGTCGATGCAAAGTAGAAGAATGGTTGAAGAACTTCCGAAAGCCAATATAAATTAGAAAGCAAGTGCACCATATTGGAAGTCGTTTTGTTTTGATGGCTCAATAGATAGTCCCTTTATGTTGTAAGATTATGGAATTAACATCTACCTCTGGATAAGATTCTATCTTATGGCAATGTGGTCCCTATCTTTTCTCAATATGTGCAGATTGGTCATTAGAGGTGACTTTTGGTCCATCTGCATAATTTTGTATGCCTCCAGCTTATTCTTTGCGGTTACTAGTCTATGGAAAGTGTCTATCCTAGAGAAACATTTGATTGCTCCAACTTTCCCCATTCTGATTTCATTTCATGTTGTCTTTTCAGGTAATTGGTCCTTACCGTTCTGGAAAATCTTTTCTACTTAATCAGCTACTCTCCCTTTCATGTTATGAGGGTGACATATCTACTTTTTTGCTCATGGAACTTCTTTTAGTTGGATCCTTTTGCACCTTCCTTGACATAAAAGTGTTAGCATTGGATTTTGTGCAGGATTTGGTGTTGGACACATGCGTGACACAAAAACTAAGGGTAATTGGAAGTAATATTGTTTTTCCCTCTCTTGCCAATTACCATTTACTCACTTGTTGGTTTCATGTTACAGGAATATGGGTTTGGGGACTCCCTATTGAACTTGATATTGATGGAGTAAAAACATCAGTCTTTTACCTTGACACGGAAGGATTTGAAAGTGTTGGCAAGTCGAATGTATATGATGACAGGTAGTGTCTGCCCCATGATAAAAAGCTGGGCTGGACTTTTTGATTATTAGTAAACTCTGTGTAATCCAATCTCTTCTCATGTAGGATTTTCGCTCTCGCAACTGTTATGAGTTCCGTGCTTATTTATAACCTCCCTGAAACGGTTAGCCACTCTAATTTCATTATTTATTGACTGTCATCAGATATGAAATCATTTAGGAATTTTTTTCTTATGGACAAGAATTTGAAGACTGATTATGCTTTTTAATTAATTGCCAATTATGGTATTTGAGATAGAGTGATAGACTGTCAACTCTTACACATCAAGGAAAAGTTTAATCTTAACATGCTTTTACTTGGAAGTTCCTATGGTATGCAGAGATTGAAAGAATGTTGTTTACTTTTGGTGTCATGATTCTTAGGATTATTTTGCATCTTGAGGGATGCTTTTTGTTCTACAACTCTCTGAAATTTATTTATTTGATGGGGAAATCTAGCGTTCTTGCTTTTGCTGAATAACCAAAAATGATATGTCTGGGAAGTTTTATTTTCTGCTATATCAAAATGTTCTTTTCCCCTTTTAGATACGTGAAGCTGATATATCTCGGCTTTCATTTGCTGTTGAGCTTGCTGAAGAGTTTTATGGGAGGTATGAGCTTCATTTTGCTGTCAATGGTTTTTCTCTGACTACATCTTAAAGTATTGGCCCTTGTATGTGTCATCATAGCTTACCTATCTACCATTACTGACTTGTTTATTGATGGATTCACCAAATTGACATTGCTGAAAGAGTTAAGGTAACTCATTCACCACTCTTATTTTGTGACCAGTTTTTTCAGACAAATTCTGTGCAGTATTATTTTTCATAAACTTCTTCTCATGGTTGGCTTGCCTTCTAGGGTCAAGATGTTGCTTTTGAACCTGCGAAGCTATTGTGGCTTATCCAACGTGATTTCTTGCGTAAGTTAAAGTGTCCAGTTCTTGTATTGAAGTTTTTCTGGTTTAGTAAATGAGACTCCCTCATGTGCACTTCTATCATGATTGACATTGTTGTTGTCCTGCAGAAGGGAAATCCGTACAAGAAATGGTGCACGAAGCTCTTAGACGAGTTCCTAATACTGATGGTTAGTATCATTACCTACCTGATTAAGAAAATGTTGGATTTCTTTCTCTACTTTATGTAATGACAAATATCTAATGATTATGCATTTTTCAATTGCAGGAGACAAGAATATTGATCAAGTAATTCTCTCTGCTAGATTGCTTTTCACCCCCCATCATTTAGCTTCAAGATTTGGTTGTTGGAATGAATCTTTCAATCTTTTTATCAATCTTATAGATTAATCAGATTCGGGACTCACTGGCTATCATGGGTGATAATAGCACAGCCTTCAGCTTGCCTCAAGTATGTTTCCCTTTTCTTTGTCTCCAATCTCTGCTTCTTCTTCTTTTTTCCCTTGCATCCGAGTTGAAGCCTTCATTGTTTGAGTTGTCAACATATATGGTGACAATGTAAGAGGCCTCTTTTCATAGTAGCATCATGTTGTTATGCACAAGGAATGGATGTTTGTCTCATTTCAATTCTGTTGGTATGATCCAAGATCATCTTTCTTCGTTACATAGAACTTGAATTTCTGTGAGTGCATGAGGGAATAAAGAACATGTCTATTACCATTTATAGGGTTTCCTCTGCATAGGTTGGTTCTTTTTCTTTATAAGGTGTAAAAATTGTCATGAGCATTATACCGTGTTACTTTTATGGTGCAAGTCCTTGCTAAAATGAGCCTTTAAACAGCCACATCTGCAACGGACAAAGCTTTGTGACATGAAAGATGATGAGCTTGATCCCACATATGTTAAGAAAAGGGAGCAATTGAAAGAGCTTGTTGCGAGTGTCATACGTCCAAAGATTGTGCAAGGCAAAACACTGAATGGAAAGGAGTTTGTTGCTTTCTTAGAGCAGGTAACTTCCCATGGATTGCCTGTTTTAATTGTAGCATCACCTTAAATCAAATGCTTGATATGTTTTTATTCCTTTATCTGGAGTATTGATGCGAGACTTTGATTAGCATACTTGATTGAATACTTCCCATGTCTTTGGGTTTCCAGAAAGCAAGTTTATTTCAAGTGAACTGTTTATATTCGAAAAGAGCTATTGAAATGGAGTCGTTTCACCACCTAGTTGAAAATTTTGCAAATATTTTTTAACTGTCCATGTATGTTTATGAAAAGGAGTTTAATTCATTACTTGGACCTTGCATGTGTAATGTCACCTTGATGGTAATCTCCAAGGCAAGCCTATTTGTTCTGAAATAAAATAATCAAGCAGCGGATTTCCTAATGTACTAGCTAAAATCAAGAGAATCCTTATCCCCACGCATTCAATTACAATTATTTGCAATAGAGAATGGTCTCCTTCTGATCGAGGAAGGGACAAAAAATAGTAGATAAATTGGCATGTAGATTTTATTGTTGCCGAGGCATTTAAAGATGAGATATATGTATTTTTGTTCTATAAGTATTTCCTCTTTTGTTTCAGATACTCGAAGCGTTAAATAAAGGGGAAATTCCATCAACAGGCTCTCTGGTGGAGGTTTTCAATAAGAAAATCCTTGAGCAGTGTTTAAAGCTATATAGTGATATGATGGCAAAAGTGGGTTTACCTCTCTCTGAGAAATCTTTGCAAGAGGCCCATGAAAGGTCTAGGGTTCTATCTATGAAAGCTTTTGATGATCAACATTTTGGCCGCCATCATGCTAAGAAGTCAGCAATGCAACTAGAAGAAGAAATGGACAAGGTAGTTTGGCTCTAAGGTTTCTGGGTTTGAAGTATTAAGAATTTTGCTATCTAATCACGTGTAGTTTGCAGATGCTCTCTATTCTTCTGTGGTATGCTGAGTATATATATTGATTATCATGCTTAAATGTGAATATATTTTTTTGGTTATATCTGTACTTTTTACAGATTAATGCAAGAAACTCAATATTTTTTTTCCAGGTTTACAAAAATATCATTTTGGTTAACGAGTATCGGTCCTCAAAGCTTTGTGAGTCACTTTATACAAGATGTGAGGACAAGATGGATCAGCTTCAGGTTCTCAGACTTCCTTCCATGGCAAAGTTCAATGCCGGTTTCCTAAAATGCAACCAAAGTTTTGAACATGAATGCGTTGGACCCTCCAAAACAAATTATGAGCAACGCATGATGAAGGTCAACTGAAATATTCTCCTTTGTTTCTTTAGCGCTTGTTTTTTCTTTTCTTTTTCACAAAGCACGTCTAAAGTTGAGCTTTTTTCCTGTGTGCTGTCTATTTGAGTGCAGATGTTAGGGAAGTCACGGACTCTATTTATTAAGGAATACAACCACAGACTCTTCAATTGGCTGGTCGCTTTCTCTCTGGTGATGGTAGTGGTTGGCCGGTTCATTATCAAATTTATTTTGATTGAAATAGGAGCATGGATAATGTTCATCTTCTTGGAGACATACACCAGAATGTTTTGGTCAGCAGAGACCCTTTATTACAACCCAGCCTGGCACTTTATAGTGGCTACCTGGGAAACTCTCGTTTACAACCCCATTCTCGATTTGGACAGGTAACTGATCTTTTTTCTTATTTTTGTTTATTCAACCTCTTTTTTAAGGGTTACCTTTCGTTCTCTGTTATACTTTTGATGGGGTGTTTTGTTCTTCTCGTGACTTCCTTTTGAGTTTGATCCTTTTTGGTACTAGGTGCAGTATCTGTTCTACAAAATCGTCATGCACGATTCATGTATTTACTTATGCTTTTGCATTTCACTGGAATGGCATGGGTTTCTTTTCTTTGTCAAACATGTTATCTCTTCATGTCTTTCATGCTCTGTTTAATCTGGTATGCCGAAAATTGTATTGCCATAGTTCTTTTATTGTTCTATGTTTATTGGATAGCTCAAAGAACCAGTTGTGAAGGTTTTTTAAAGATTTAAGGAAATAAGGGCAATGAAAAACATTGTAAGCCTGCACAGTGATTTTGCAATATGCTCGTAACATGAGATTCTTTTCCTTCCAACAGATGGGCGATTCCCATTATCCTATTGGGTGCGATATTTATACTTTATTGGCGGTGTTATGGGAGAAGGAAGCATGGTTCACGTTCACTCTTACCTCTGTATAGCAATCAGAAAGGCGGCTCAGCCCGTCCGAGGACAGATTAGACAAACGACGAGAAACAGTCTCTCTTCCACATTTTGTATTCCTGTAGAGGACCCTTCGGCGAGCTTCTCCATTTTAACATACAAAGCCCGCTTTCATTATTCTTTTTTCAATCCCATGACACCTCCTCCCCCTGGACCTCTCATACAGCAAAGAATTACTCAACAGGGAGACGAAAGAAGGCTGCCAAAAAAAAAGGAACGGCAAGGTCTGAGCAGCTGCTGTAGCAATTGTAAGTGTAGCAGCATACTGAGTGAAAAATGGATTTCATATTACCAATTGATTAATTGAATTCTCTCTGTGTTAGTCTGCAGTGTTGTTGTTCAGATAGAAATTTGTCCTATAAAAATGACGGCAGTGCAAGCCAACATTTTGTGCCCTGATTTCTCCATCATACTTTGTATAGGAACGAAAAGGAAGGCTTATCGCGTTGCATGATGTTCCTAGTACTTGTGTACATTATAGTCATTGCCATCGTCCTTTTGAGAGATATCCTAACAGTCATTGCGCACCTTTTACCCTATAACACGAACTCTGATACCGTTTATCGACTAGTCACTTCTTGAACAAAGCAGGGGAATGGAATTAATTAGCAAATTTAGATGAAGACTGGAAGTCGTGGTGCATTTGATATGTTACCGTAGGAATATATCTTTTTTAAGATGGAATGAGAGCTGCAGTTCCAACTTGGGACTTACATCTCGCCTGTGGAAGGTGCTTTGACAGTCTACTTACCATATGACGTGACGAAGATCATGTGTCGATTCTACTGAATGATGCTGTGTTGTAGTTGCTTGATAAAGAGATGATACACAAGAATTCAACAGATACTGAAGACTTTTTGTTGTTCATCTGATTATTTTTCTTGACGACGTGACTAAGGGTAAAGCGGTGTATTTCTTCGACGCATAATCTCTAGCGATGGAACAAAAAGGAGTTAGAGCTAAAGCCGTTCTTCCCAAAATTTTCAGTGTCCCACCCTTTCTAGTTGCTACTTTGCCGAGTTAGCGTATCCATCAGGTGATGGAGTGCTTCCCCTGTTTCTCGTCCTTATGATTTTTCGACCTTCATCCTGCATCATCTGGATCGACCCACGGGTCGACAAACTTGGTTAATGGCTTGGCTTGCTACGTCATATTAGCTACGTGACCGGAGGTCAAAACCTTTATTAGATAGGGCTTCAAACATTTCGTTGTTCCATCCATTTTTCACTTCAATTTGGAATGTTCGATCCATTTTCACTTCGATCTGGAGCCGTTGGAACTACTGCATATAGCGTGTTCCACCCGAGGAAATCTGGCTGAGCCATGGAGGATCGTTGAGAAGTTCTGTATTGGTAAGCAACCTCGCCGATGGCACTAGGGATTTGCAAAGCCGACAGGATAAAAGACGCAAAGCGCTTCACAGAGTGGGTTCACCGTTGATGCATAGTACTGAGAATTCAAACTTTGGGAGAACTCATGCGAGTTGCCGTGAAGATTTGTATAGAACTTGGATCTTTCAAAACAGACTTTTAGAATGCGACGCTAGTGCTCTCGGCCGTTTTTCGTGAAAATCGGAAGCTGATTCGGTCAATGTTCTAGGTACGACCTGCATATACTTTGTCGTAGCATTTCAATAGTTTATTCTACCAGAAACAACTTTATTCAAATTTTAAAATAACAAAAGTGAGCAATGAAGTTTTCTTCATTTGTTCCATCCGTGCATATGAATAAGTGGATCATTAGGAATCAACAAAAGCGAAACCGAGCTTGACCTCTAGAATTTGCCTAGGATCAGGGAACAAAACTTTCTTTAGGAACAGCTGGTCTCGAAAGCTAAACCAAACAATCTTAAGAGGAACCCTGGAAATTTAAACTCCAGACACAAACTAGAACGAAAAACTACACGTCAATGACCATCGTTACCTCTTTATTTTGTCATGGTTGGGGGGCCAGCCTTCACGAACCAAACCGAGTGATTGCACTTAAGAGTAATGAAAAGGCAGCCAAATAAATTAACCTGTTACTCCAATACCCTGAACATCCTTTTGCAATTACCGTACTCCAAGAAGATTCTGCGAGAACAAAAGGCTTCGCATTTTCCTTTCACTTCTATTTTATAATGCATAGGCTACATAACATGGTGCGACACCAGATGATCCACTCCTTGTCTGGACTAAGTTTAGTTGCACACCCTAAAGATGCATTGACAATCCAGATGCATGCAGAAGTACATGTAGAGATAGAGATATTCCAACAGATTCTATCGACAAACAAAGGAATGATGCCAGGCAGGGCGTCTACTTCTTTTTAGTGTTAGTGTTTGCCAGTGGAGGAGGAATGTTTGAGCTCCAACCAGGAATAGTCCCGGAGGCGCCATGAACACCCTGCATTGACGAAACCGGAGCCACATTGTTCGAAACGGCATCGGCTTGTATGTTTGCGAGCACTGGAAGTGGGTTGTTCCTGGGGAAGCCACTGTCATCAAATCTTGGGTGATGCGGATTGATAGAGGTTATATTAGGAGCTGCATGATGAAAGAAGTGGTCGGCATTTGGTTGCATCGGCGTAGCAGCAGTTGTGAATGAATCCATTGGGCTGCTCACAAACGGGTCTGAACTAGGCAAGTTCGACATAGCAATGACAAGTGGATTAATTCCAGTAACCCGCTTGACTGTTTCTTCAGCCATTTTCACCTGGAAAGAGAAAGATCGTCGCGCAGACGAAAGTCTTTCAAAAGCAGAATAACCCATATTCATAAAATTTCAAGACATTTCAGAAGATGTCTAGTGTTTTCAAGCTCTATCACACCGGTCCTTATTTATTGGTGGGAATGGGGAAATGGCTAGGGCTTTGGTCCAGTTGACTAACCCTGGTTCAACCGTTCAGCCAGGAATAGAGTTAACTCACTTTAAAAGAACGATTTTGTTAACAAGTGCCCCAGAGACACTTGTTAATCAACTAATTAAGGAAACTTTGCAGTTTCCAATGCTTTGATTGCCTCGTGCCTGCGTAACCACTACTTTGAAAAGTGAATTATTCCTCATTCAGTATGCTTAACAAGTGCCTCCGAAGCACTCATTAACAATACTTTCCATTTATTGGCGCAAGGAATTGAAGCCCTATAATTGATGGAGAGCACTGGTTGCAAACTAGCTGTCTTTTAAATTATTCACAGTTTTAATTTTCATGCAGCATGCAGCACCCAAAATTGGGTCCTCATGCTCAGAATACGAGCAATGCAAACCACAATGATCAAGACAACTTGATTCTTAATTTTGTTCATGCAATTACTGTTTACATTTGCTCATGCTTAGTGTATGTTACATAGTATTGGAATTGTAAATTCCAACTACAGGAGCTTTGAACTCCAATCCAATTTTGGGAAAATAAGAGATGTCAAGGCTACATTAGACACGAGCGAACAATACAAGTAGAGCATTAATTATAGATGATATACCCTCACCACAGACGAGGTTTTAGAGTCTCGAAACATGGGAGATACCAGAAGCAAACTCTCAAGAACATCTACAGATATCATAATAAATAGGTTTAGTAGTGTTGATAAACCCATCATCGCACATTTCTGCCTATGCCTCAAGGTCTTGGGATAGAATATGGTAAAGGAAAGACAGAAACAACAGAGAAGGTAGACCAGACCCCATTCATGTAGTTACCAGATCGAGGCAGCGTAAAATGTATTGAAATTACCCAATCTTGAAAGTCTAGTTGAATCATGAAACTGGAATACTTTTATGCCTGATTCTGTAACTAATCTTTCCCTGCTCTTTCCAAGGCAAACACCTTGCTCGAACTATTTTAAGGCCAAGATAATCTCTCTCTGTTTCCTTCCTTTCCAAAAGCCTTATCAAGCATTACGCTTTCCATATATCCACTCCATTACATTAAGATGGTGCTAGCACTTTTACACACCTCTAGGAAACTTATGTTCCATCACTATTTATCAAGCAAGAAATTGTCCCTTCATATGGAAAATTAAGTCTTAAAAAAATCTATCCTTGAAATTACTCTTTACTAAACTAAAAGAATAATAGAAGGGACTGGATATGGACACTACCGAGGTCCTTCAGAATTCCATATTTTTTTGGCCAAATACCTTGTCATATTTGTTAAGTTCAATTAGATAATACTCAAATTTTTAGATTGCCAGCATCTTTGAGTCTTTATTATCTTTTAAATTTGGCCCCCAAAGATGGTATTCCTGGATCCATCCCTGATAGATATCATTCCTTACTCTTCTTTCTATGAAAACAAACCTTCTCAAAATCACCCCCTCGATCGATTCACACAAGTTACAGCACCCATCAATGAGAGGTAATCAATTGGTATACTTCCTGAACAATGTATTCCTCAAATTTGGCCAAAGAGTATACTCTTCTTGACATGTGAAAACGTCAGATCATGTGTCTTTCAGATAGAGGCCAGATCTTGTCATTGCTAAAACTTAAAACTGAAACTTCATCATTAAAATGATGCAATGCATAAGTAAATCTTATGCTAGGGAATGATGGACTCACCTAAGGAGCTTACTTGATCACACGATAGGAGAAACTAATGGTAAATCACGTCAGTTATGACTACGTCCGAAGAAAAAGGCCAAAACCATGACAAGCTAATATCTTTTCCACAATAAAGCACATGGGTAACACATGGAACAGCCACACATATATCACATAAAAGTAATGAAGGGGGAGAAAGAGATTTTCAATTAAGAAGTGCAAACATGGTTACATTGTAGAAAAAACATTTGAGTTATCAATTAAAGCGCCTCGCGTGAATTGACCCAAGAATGTTTTCCACATGTAACCATTATTTTAAAAAAGAAACCAAACCTTTGCTCGTAATGTCTCGATGTCAGCTTTCAAAATTCTGTTGTCAACTGATGCTACATCATACTTTTGGTTCATGTCAGTGAGACGCTTCAGTAGTGCAGTGTGCTCAACCTTCAGTTGGCCCACCTAGACCATTACCAGAAGTGCAGTTCAAAAATCACTAATTATAAGAGCTTTTCAACCAAGAGTACAAGTGAAGTATATACCTGGTTTTCAAGTTCACTCATGTGCTCCTGCTTTCTTCTTCTGGATCGTCTAGCTGACTCTCGATTTGACTGCATCCTGAGCCACCATTAATATATCAATTGACAAAGTGGTACTAGATTGTAACACTAGAATTTTATATGGTGACTTCGCTGATGTGAAGATACAACATGATTTCAAACACCACCCCGTTCTGAAATATATAAATGATACAATAACAATAACGCAGTCATAATCAACCACAGGCCAAGAACCCCACATCACAGAAGAGAATTTCAGACAACAAATTGAAGTGCAAATTACTGAAAAAAAAGAGGATGTTTGTTTCACTCTAATTCAACAATTCCTTTTGAGATAGGAATATATCTGAAATGGATAGATGGTACAGAAACCAGCTCTGGACCTGGGGGGAAAACGTTGCAGATGTAACTGTGGAATGTAATCACTCTCAGAGTCATATTACTCAAGTTGAACTTAGAAAAGCTCCGATAATAAAAGTGAGATGGCAACTTTGAAGATGAGAAGCCAAGCTTCTGGTTATATAGATTTTTGCTCAAAGTTCTGTGTCCAGTTGAAACAGTTTTGATTTTTACAGCACAGATTTGGTTATAGGGAATGAACAGATTCATAAGTTGCCAAGATATTTCGCACGAGGATATGAAGGGAATAAATAATGAAAGGATGTAATGCACTGTTGCGCAAAAAGCTGGCAAAATGTTGCGACCGAAAGGATGTAATGCACCATTGTGCAAAAGCTGGCAAAATGTTGCTACCTTCTAGCACGTCTGACCTCAGCAGGATCTTTGTTTTCAGTGGTTCCTGTGTCGCCTTCAAGTTCATCATCATCTGAATCCTCCCTTGACGACTCACTTGTTGTTTGCTTAACTTGCACACCTGAATCTCTTTGTATGGAGGGTAAGGCTGGAATGCCAAACGATCCATTATCTGCAACTTGTGGTAATGGCACACCATGACCAGAACCTCAAAGCGATAGACAAGTGAGATGTTTTAGAGGATTATAACCTAAATCATCTAAGTAACAAGTCCTCTGACAGCAGAAGTGGACATGAATTAACAATTATAAGTAAGGGCTTGGGGAATACAAAAGATCTGGTTGACTCAGTAAATGCAAAAACATTTAGGCAGTATTAATCTGGTAACATGAAAATCAAATTTATTGTGAACCATTGCAACATGCTGTTATGAGAAAATGAAGAATTTGTAAAGTAATTGCCTAAGCAGAAGATAGAAGCTAGCAACACTCAAAGAAAAACAGAGGCATCATCCCTTGTAAAGACGTCAAATGGATATACTAAGCAGGAACCTCACCCTACAAGTAAAATTTTCAGTCAATAAAATTTAAATGGAATAACTTAAGCAAAGAAAACTTCGCATTCTCTTATCAGCAGATCTAACACAACCAAGATAACAGACAAAGTCAACCCAAGACAATCACCATAATACATGTATGTACTACTAATGCAATTGTCAAGCGCACTGTCTGAGATAGCTGGCAAGAAGATGCTCCTCCGGCCATACTTCAAGTTTGGAGCAACCAAGGCATCTGATCACATGCTCATATCTAAGAGAACTACACAAGTCCCAACATGCAAGATGCATCTCCTGTGTGTCGCAACTATTCACTTAGTAATCCATGCCTACTACTTGTAAACAGTGGACCTAGTGCAGCTTTTGCTTGACTGTCAAGACATTTCGGAGATAAATCATCAATCAGACCACAGTTTGTAATCTGGAACCAATGCTTCTTGTAATTTGTCAAATGTAGTATGCATCATTCATCTGCAGCTTTTGCTGGCACATTATATGCTAAACTTTCAAATTAGATTTCATAGGTGAATCCTTCGGATCATACATAAACTACTTACTCTATTTGAAACCAGGATTTTAACACACCCACAGACAGAACAATGTGAGATATATAATACACATGTCATGAGAGCCAAATTTGCAAGCAAAGGATGATATTTTACTTTTTCTAGAAGATAAAAGAGCAATCATATGCACCTTACTAAGACCTTAAGACCTACTTTGAACAAATTACCTATTGAACAATTAATATTCAGCAAACAAATTTGCAGAGGATGATCAAAATAACACGAGCACACAGCCCAGAAAGAAAATATCTAAAAGAAACAAGCTATACCATCAGCTTGGATGTCCAACTGTGTAGAAATCGAGGCCTGTAACGGCATCTTGGGAAAAGAAGTAGGTTCTCCTGGCTTCGTAGTTGACTCCTGTAACCACACAATACAGTTTTTTCAATCACAGAGAGAAAACTACAACGACAGCAGTTGACACAAAAGGTTCAGACAAATGGGTTCGAATCCTATTTCCACTCCTTAAGTCCTTATGATTAATGATATGATTGCTGAGCTCTAGACCTTGAAACAACCTTGCGCATATATCCAGATAGACACAATTCACTACAGAGTCAAACCATAAGCACTGCGTCCACAAACGTACACAATTCGATCGATGGACTAAAATTAACAGACAACAACGGCAGGAAAACACCACACATACGCACGCGCATGCACGTATCATCACACATGAGCAGGGACAGAGGAGGAAGAATCGATACACGGAAGCGAGCGACGGCAGCACACTCAATCTCGAGCTGACTCTTAAGGAAAGCGTGGCCGTCGTCGGGATTGACCGGCACCTTCGGCTGCGGCTGCGGCTGCGGCGGCGGCTGCGGCGGCTGATGATTCAGCCGCGCGAGCTGGTCGTTCGGCTTCTTGATCTCGACGACGTCGTGGAGATCTCCGCCCTCCGACAGCCGCTTCGGGTTCGGCGGCGCGATCGAAGAAGAGGAAGGAGAGATCGCGCCGGAGCACGTCCCCTCGGCCAGGAACCTCTCCAACGCCCACTCCGATTGGCTCCGCCCCATCGCCCCCGGCGCGGGATCGGCCACCGCCGACGGCGGCAGCGCCACCCGATGCGGCGGCGGCGGCGGCCAGTAGGAGTCGCCGATTTCGTCGACGGGGAACACGGAATTCATCTTCGCCACGATGATTGATCTCTCTCTGTCTCTCTACGGTGGGCTTTTGGGCCTCCGTTTCGGGGTTTCTTTTAAGGTGGGGGCCCCACGTGAGTGAGGTAAGGGGAAAAAAGTTCGGGTGCTTCGGGGAACCAGCGTTCCTCCCAGTAGGAGATCGACGCGTGTAAAAGCGGTGCTGAGATGGTGATGACGTGTCCGGACGGGGTTGGGCATGAGTAGTCAGCAGGGTTCTGATTGGACGAGAGAAAGTCGTGTTTTAAGGAAAGTGGGGTCCACTGTAAAGGCGAATACGGGGGATCTTTTTTTCCCCCCCCCCTGGTTCCGCGTTACTTCCAAGACATCGCCCGTCGGTTGTCACCGGTGCTATTACCGCACGTTTTGCTATTCTACCAAATAAATAAATATATAGGTTCATCGAAAATTCTAAAATTTATTATAAAAGTACAATTGAATATTAATTTTTTTTTAAAATACACAATAAAGTCCTAAAATTTATCACGAAAGTATAATTGAATACTAAAACTTTTAAAATATGCAATCAAGTCCTAAAATTTATCAAATTGGTGCGATCAAGTTATTCCATCAACTCCGTCCAACTTGACAAGCAGAAAATGCTAATAAGTTTTAGGACTTGATTGCACTTTTTGAAAGTTTTAGGATAAAATTGCACTTTTGCAATAAGTTTTATGACTTGATTGTATTTTTTAAAAATTTTAGGACTCAATTGCACCTTCACGATAAATTTTAGAAATTTTAGCGCACTTATTTCAAAATAATAATAATAATAATAATTCAAAAAGATCATGGAAAAGGTTGAACTTATAATATGAAAAAATAATTCGGTTTGAACTAATAATAAAAAGGTTGCATTCAATAAAAAATACAAGAATTGCAATTATAATAGTATTTCCTAAAAATAATTAAACAATAGATGATTAATGAAAAGCATCCATCCAACAAAGTTTAAGTGCATCTTCAAATTTTAAAATGAAAAAATACACGTACAAGCGCCCTAACAACGATTACACGTATATTACATCCAAAAGAATACCCAATTGATTCGGTTTCGCCGTTGCAGTTAGGGTGTTAATGGGTCGGGTCGAGTTTCAACACTACCCGACCCAACCCGAATCATATGGATGCCCGCTCTGTCTAACCCGAACCCAACCCGAAACTAAACACTCGGGTCGGATAGGTCCGGGTCTCTCTTTTTTTAAAAAAATTCTCAGGGAAATATAGTTTACACTTTCTTCCCTCCTCATAAATGAGCATGACAAAGTTGCTACATCGTTTTGACTCACAAATAGAGGAGTTGATGGCTACATGATACGTGACCAATGCAATTTTGCTCATAAGTCGACTGGGACATGTTCAGCCAAGGTTTAGACATGAAATTTGCCCTACTTTCCACTTTGTTAGAACTCGAAGCTTTAGCCTAAGTAGCACCGAAATCAACATTGACACTCGACACGACACGTCGACAAGTCATTTATCAAAAAATAGAGAATTCCTACACGTTGGGACACGTTGTATGTTAAATTTGTATTTTTATATATACATGATAAATTATCATTTTTATGATTATTTCAATCAAATTAATTTGATTCAAATCCACAAATAAATAATAAATAAATAAATAAAGAGTGTCGGACGAGTGTCGATCTCCAAAACGTTCAACACGTGTCTGACACCGACACTGAGGCTCCCGGATGAATAGGGACTTTAGAAATTGGCTCCCTTTCCACCTCCAACAGATTGTGCTCAATGCTTTCCAGTTTCCATTCCTTCGTCTCCCAATTAATTAGTTGAGCTCCCTTCATATCTCTATCCACCTCTTCATCAGGTCGGTTCGGGGTCGGGCTGGGCCGGGCCGGGTAAAATTGACACCCCTAGTTGCGGTATCCCACATGGCGGTTCGGATGATAAGGTACCGCCATTGTCCTCATATTTACGTTGGGCACAATTGACTAGAGTCGATTCTTGCAATAACTAATCATGCCCGCACACAACAATTTCTATATTTCTCGTAGTCAAGTTATATACTTACTGTCTTTTGTAATCCGTCAGCATGGGCTTCGGTGGTACTGAACATGCCAATGGGGTCAGTAAATCACGAGCCTCTCCTCCCCTAAGGAAAATGCACGACAAATGCGATTTAAGGCTCAACGAGAACTTTGTGGTGGCGAAATGACGTGGGACTCTAGTCACCTTGCACATGTCACGTAGGTAGTTTATCTTCTCTACAACTGCTTGGGCATTCTAGGTTTCTAATAGACCTTATATAAGTCGGATGGCGATGACTCCTCTCTCCTTACATCCTTAATTTAGTGGCCAACTCAAACCTAGGATTTAGGAAGGTTCTACGAATTAGGGGTACTACAGGCCGGCGATCCCCCGTTTGCATAATTCGAGGCGCAACAATTGACACAAGCGCGTCGGACTTGTTTATGAATGGCGAACTTCAAGTGGAGCTGACGACACGACAGATTGGTTCAAGTTGCTATTAGCTATTGGCATTGCTCGGAAATAGAGATAAGCATTGCTGATTGGAAGGATAATTAACCCTAAAGGTATCTCCACATGATGATTTCCAGTCTTGTTTTGGGAATGGAATTCTTCAACAAGGTTGATGCCATGATCGAGATGAGGACCCGGTCTCTTGTCATCGCCGATCGGATATGTCAATGTGTAGTGTTGACGATCGGTGGGTTGACGGCAACCAAGACCATCGTCACGGTGCAACTCGTGGAGGGGAGGCTGTGAAACAAGAAGCCCGTGGCCAAGCTGAGGATAAGGCCACGGCATTTGGAGGGGCCAAAGGTGGAGCCGGTGCCATCCAAGCCAACTTATGATCGGGTGCCGATCCATGTTCTATTTCTGGAAGTGGGGGACTTGTCGAGCAACATGGAGATAAACAAGCCAAGGAAGGAATTGCTTTTCGAGCGAGTTGTGGTGCGAGGCGTGCAACCGTGAAGTCAAGAAGGGAGAGACTGAAACAGCATGGGAGATGGAAGAACCGCCAATCTCCTACGGAGCCGATGATCCGAAGGATCTGTTCAGGCGAGAGGAAGACTTTTCAGCACTAAGAGCGTCGCTTAATTGGGTGGGGAAGAATGTAGCAGGACGGAAGTTTCAAGGTACAAACGAGCCTAGGAGGTGGCCAAGATGATCCGAGGTGTCTTGAAGTTTCTAGGAGTTGAGGGTTTTCTTGTATATCTAGAATTTCTTAGGGGCATTACAGAAATTATAGGTAGTATTCGTGTATTAAGTAGGGGTATTTAGTAAACTCGAAAATATTTGGATCTCCACTATCAAATCGTAAGGAGATCTATGATTGTAATTTGAGGAGCTGATGTATATATAGCAGTTCGTTCTCCCTAATTTGTATCATCTAATACAAGAGTAATACAAGACATTCTCTCCCAAATACTTCTCTTTCTACGATCTGGGTGGGGCAAATGAGCAAGTAAGCGAGTGACTAGAGAAGGTTGAGCTTAAGCGACGCAAGTAAGGGGTAATGAGTTATTTGGAGCCTACGTGCCACACGGTCACGATCTCAAGTGTTGGTCCGTAACATGAGTAGCGAGGACTCAGACCAGCTCACCTCGGGCTCGATTTAACAAGACATTTGGTAAACTTTCTGCTCCAAATTTGTCTCGAATTTTTAGTTTGTCAAATAATCATTCTACCCATTGATTAATACTGCCTTAGATGTTTCGTTTATTTACGTTTCTGACTTCCATTGACAATTAAGAGTAAATATTTTCGGTTGATTTTCATTTGGAGATGTACGGCTTATTAATCCACTTGAGGTTATTCAATTTTGGAAAAGTAGATGCTCTATGCCTCTGTCTTTGGATTATGCATTATTCAATTTGGCCAAGCACTGTCACGGGCTTAGCTGGAGGGCGGTTGTCATGTTTTGGATACTATTTTTGGGATGTAACTGGTTATTCTTGCCCCCACATCACCCGCTAGAGATGTCGGTTCTAAGGAGGGTGGTCGGTTCTCAACCCAAACCTAAAATCTCATTGTACAACACAAAATTGCAACTTTTGAACAAGAAAGGTAGCCTTGGTTCAAAATTTTTGTAAGCGCAAAATATTTTTTCATTAGCATGAAGCTTCGAAACCTGTTGAACCAGGATAAAAACCGGCAATTTCGGCTTTGGAACGAGGAAACGAAGTATCGTTTCTAGGTTCTTGGAATCGGCTTTGAATCAAATTGACGAAGCTGGTTTTGTCCGGTGCTTAGGTTAAATCAGAATTGATGCTCACCTTTTATCCTCGACTTACCGAACCTCGTAATCTTTTTTTCTTTAAGTGTTTTTTTTTTTACAATTAAGGGGACCAACGTAAAGGCCCGACCGACTACTTGAATGCTCATGAACCCTCCTACAAGTCTCAAGAACTACTTAAGCCCGACTATTTGGCTTATATAGGTGGCCTAGACTTAAAGTAATTTGCACGTAATTGCTGGAATTTTAAACAGTTGATCTCAATTCCAAGACCAAAAATCCCTCACCAACTCAACAGACCTTGTGGAGTTTGTTTAGATTCACAGTTTCTACACATGATTTTAATTACTTTTGGCAGGATATATATTCATTTATGCCCAACTTTGTTACCTTCTTCCTTCCCTAAACCAACTACTATTCTTTCTGAAACTAGAGACAACAACTTTACAAGTTCAATTCCTCATCCTAAACCAAGCCTAATGTAAGTGGCACAAGTTATTATTTTTAGGAAAATATTTTTCAAATCACTCATTTTTCGCGAAATAAATAGAGCCTAAGGATGTAGTGCCTCAAGGTCCTCCGAATCTTCCCTAATTCCAGTTTCGTCGCAATAAAAAAAAATTGATTTTCGAATTTTGAAAATTATGGAGCCGCCACCTAGATCGATTGTACCATAGAATCAAAAATAGTTCTAGGGACAATGAACTGTCATGGTGCATCGTACAAGATGACTGGACTATGTGCAAAAAATCAAAACCTATGGTGCTACAATTTTGGTATGCACGTTGAAGGGGTCCCCATGGCGCCCTT